ACTTTATATGTGATATTCGTGAGTATTTTTTGACATATTGCTGAATATCTTGAAATTGGGAGAAGTAATATCGTCTAAAGTTCGTAAAAGGCAGAATCACATGAGACATAATTTCAATTGAGTTTTTAAGAATAAAATATTAACAATAGATTACTTCATATTAGGTATTTTATACTAAGAAATCTAACTACAAAATTGATAGTTTAAAAACTTAGATACTTTTCTTCTTCAGCACGACAGCCCCTTACAGGCCTTGGCTGCCTCAACCAAAGAACTCAACCACGCGTAGCCTCCAACGCCTCCGATCCATTGCGACTTTTTTTCAGTTGTTAATCTTTATTACTTTGAGGTCTTTAGTAGTGTAATCGAGCCATCTAGTTGGAGGTCCTCCTCTGGCCCGAGATCCCGAAGTATTTTTAAAGGCCATTCGTACTGCATTGTTTTCTGGACCTCTCCAGATATGGCCAAGCCATCTTAGATACTTTTACTAATCATATTTATCTCATATTGTCCACACAGTATTAACCATAAGAAACCACCTCTGTATGAATTTTAGAAGACATTAAAGTTTATAAAAGTGAATATTTTATAGTTAACTATAGTTATTAGAGTACATTGGAGTATATTGAGTATATTTGAGTATATAGAGTATATTTGAGTATATAGTTATCTGAGTATAAAATACAGTATATTTAAAGAGTTTTGTTAATAAATTCACATAGTGATAAATTGTAAAAATTTTATATTTCCTCAAGTATTAAAGTATGTTAATGCCACTTTTCAAGAAATCATCCTCAAAGTTAGCACGAAATAAATATTTGTGTACGCTTTAAATTTTGAGTGTAATAATATTGTATTTTATTATTTATTTATGAAGAATATTCTTTTTCAAAAATCATTTATTTATGTATGTAAAATTTTATGAGGAGTTGTTTTTAAGTTATTGCACCTTAAAGAGATAAATATAACCGTATACTCTGTCAGACTAAATCAATTCTACCTTAAAGAAAAACGCTAAATTCAGCTAAGTTCAATTAGCCCACTAATGAATTTTCCTAAGCAAATTCTTTCATTTCTGTGTGGTAATTTTAAACAGTATGCAAAATAAAGATTTTTACATTTTCTAGACAATGTTTTAGATGACGTTTCCCTAAAAATTCATGAAAAAACTATGAACTGGAAACGAAAATCAATATAACTTATTACAATTGCAATTACAATATTTAACTAGATTACCAAGATGCCTTTCCTCAAATATCAAAGTTAATTAAAGGAAAGTTATAGTTTTATTGTCATGGTAGAAAACTGCGACTAAAACACAAATAAAATAGCTAGAAAGGACTAATAGTTTTTTCAGTACTAGAGCAAATATAATCACTATGCTTTGTTTCTGTTGTACGCAATTTCGCATTTTTTTGTTTCTTTAAATAGGACTTATGATAGATATAATTGATTGCAAATCAAAAATTTATTCTTAATTTGATGATGTTTATTAAAATGATGTGTAAAAATACTGTAAAAAAATACGGATCAAATAACGGTAAAAATACCGACACTTAGGGCGAATCATCCTTTTAAACGAGAAATATTATACAGTAATTTTTACGGAAATAATTATTTAATTTGAATAATTTAGTGATTTTACGAGAACTATTACTGTAACTACGGTATATCAGATTTTTTTTCCGTAACGTGTTCCGATAAAAATGGATTTTAAGGTAAAACCGTAATTCTTTACCATGATTTTTTTGCATTGTAGTTACTTTTTAATATTTTCAGTTATAAAATTTTAATTAAAAAAAAAAGAAAAGTAAAACATGTAGTTGAGTGAAGTTAAGATTCGCACAATTAGTTCAAATCGGCTGAAAATTAAATAAAGAAATTTTATCTGTTCTTTTCATTAAAATAGCTCATAATTTATAAATAGTCCATGCATGCATTTATATATGAAATATTCAGTAGCTTTATAAAAATAATGAAAATGTCCTTAAAGTCTTAAAAATTATTCAACTAGCTAAAAGCTTTTAGAAAATATTTTTTTTAAAATAATGCTACTAAATAATTTTCAATTAGTTGCATAATTTTTTCTAGGACGAAAGACGAAAGTTTTATTAAAAAAAATCTCGCGGTCAAACCACATATATAACAGCAAAGTAGTTAACAATCGGGAAATTATGACAATATTAAGTATCTCATAACTACAAAAGTAATTCTTATTTAATGAATCAGTTATGACAAAATTAGATACTCAGACATACGAAAGTAATTCTTAACTTGACAAAACTTGAATAATGAAATATTTCTCTACTTCTGACCAAATTCATTTCCTCGAAGAAGTGACGATAGTTATTTTGTCACTTTGACGAAATGTTTGCTCGGAGCATATACCAGGAAACGGTTTCGTCGAAAACGAGGAAAGTTTCTTGAAATTTGAGCATTCATTTTTTACAGTGTAAGTGGTTTCAAAGTGGAAAGACATATTAAAGCCCTATTATTAAATAAACTTAGTTGTGCTTAAAAGAATGCTGCTACAATAAAATATTCACAATTCTGATAATTTTCAAGAATCGTTAAGCCAAACAGTTTTAATCACGCCATTTGTAATTGATGCATATATAGGAACTATTTAATTTTATTTAAAATACTGGATATTTTATTTCAAACTTATTTTATAAAACTGCCATGAAATTAAAAACTAAGACATTAAAATGAAAAATATAATAATATTTTTCTTTAAAAACATGGAAAGTTACTTAAAATATCGTATAATAAAAGTGTGTTTAAAGCAAAATTTATACTGAGGTGCAAATTAAAAGTTATTTCCATTTGAATGGTACTTTTTCAAGAGGATTATAGCAAAAAATATTTAGTTTCAAAATAATTTTAACTCTTTCCCTTTCATATTTAAAATGCCTCAAGCCTTATTTTTCAAATATTTAAAAAGAATGTAGTTGTTGATCGATAATAGAAGAAGAAACAAAGTTTCTTTTCAAGCTTCACTGCAAGAAAATATTAAAATCTCTTTTAATCAAGAGTATAGATTTTTATAGATTTTAGGTTCTTCCAAGTTCTAAGATACAAAAGAAAATGTTTATAGTCGCGCAGTTCCTTTTTTACTATTCTTAAAAATCAACTTTTATGATAGGAAAAGGTAGTTAATTTGAAAATTTTAGTTTTTTTCGAAAAAGAATTTGCGCCAGTTATATTATATCCTTTTGATTATATAATCATGAAAGAACTAAACCTCTTGAAGTTTTTTTAAAAATAAAATATGTTGGGCTATCTTTTCGTGAGGACGCAAACTTTTACGCGATATTTAATTAAAAATAATGCCTTGAGAAACGACATTTCACGAAACTATGTCACAGTAGCAAAATAATTACTGCTTTCTCAAAATTCTAAACAATAAATACTACTTAAAAATAATGTATTGCAATTGTTGCGCTCCCAGTTTAGTAAATTAATAATAACATTTCTTGCTTGCTTTGAATGTGTTTTAAAACTTAAAATTTAAACACTCTAAATAAAACCCTAATTTAAATGGATAAATTTATTAATAATTTTTGGTTTAAATTTCTCTAATTCAATTAACAATTAATATTTGGATGAGATAGACTGGTTGGCAGGGGGTTGGACCCATGTCCAAGAAATCGTGAGTAAGACCCCGCCGATCGAAGACTCCCCTTGTAGTAAATGGTGACTGGTATATGTTAAATCTGTTGGGTCACAAAGTCCTCCATGTTTCCATAACAAATCAATACCTCTGGGGTTACTGATTTGGTCATTTATCGTTCTCTGCTTTAGGTCAATATTACGATCTGTGGATGAATAAATGGATGTTCTCTGCTTTAGGTCAATATTACGATCTGTGGATGAATAAATGGATCGTTCTCTGCTTTAGGTCAATATTACGATCTGTGGATGAATAAATGGATGTATGGTCCCGCCCTATAAACGGGCTTTGATGGAGTGTGTATGACTGCAGTCGTATTCTTGGTAATAAATAGCTTCTGCATTTAAAAATTCTGTAAAACTGGTTAAGAGCAGATTATTTTTTTTTTTGAAAAAAGATAGTGAATACTTTCGTTTTAAATGATTTTTTAAGTTGCGTTCAAATTTACGCATGAAACTGAGTATATGAACTCACCGAATTTGCTGGCCCATACGTACTCTTGTTGTCGAAATTTTTTATCAGTTTTTTTGATAAGTTTCTTTGATATTCCTTCTTTAAATATGGTTGCAGGCTATGGGTTCAACCCATAATATTAATAAAATAAAGCTAAATAAATAAAGAAGCACATCTCACTATGTTTAATTGCATGATTTGGCGTCCAATTCTGACAACTAAAATGAAGGATTGCGTTATTAAGAACTCCTGAAGCTTATTTAAAACTAAAAACATTTTGCTCAGTAGTGCAGAGCTCCTGTTTTAATAAATGTGAACCATCATCTACTCCAATGTTAATAAAAACAGTGTTAAAACATATCATTCACTACAAAGACATACACGAGTTGCAGTTAATTTATTTATAAATCACTGTAGATTTTAATAATGCAATCCCATTTTAGATATTTTATTATAGTTATTATCTTACATATTTTACATGGTATTGAACTTAAAATTCGTAAAATAGTTATGAAATAACTTATTTAAAATATGTATAGATAAGTAAAATACGGCTTATGTAAATATACAGGAGTAGATAAATGCTTCTGTGATTACAATATTTAGTTTTGGTGGTATGAAATCCTCTTTGCTGTATTTTAAATGCTATATTCATTCTTGCCATATGCTATATTTATATTTGCTATATTTAAATACTTTTCTTTGCTATGTATACTCTTTCGAGACACTTCAGAAAAATACATTTTGATCTGTTTTTAAATTTAAGTTTTTTTTTTAAATTAATGAAAATTTATATATGCACTCTGTAAAATGTATTCTATTGCACAAATACAATTGCTTCTTATTCTGCTCTTAAAAACTGTATGTTTTGTAGGCACACGAGTTCCTGTAATCGTGGTTGGAAATAAAACAGATCTTGTAGAAAAGCGAAAAGTCACACAAGAAATGGTAACAGACGCACTTAAGGAGCGATCAGCTGTATACAAGTACCTAGAAACTAGTGCCAAAATGAACATTAATGTTGCTGAACTATTTGTTGAACTTTTAGAATATGCTCGGCAGCTTGAAAATCCATCACCTGAACCTCAACCCTCCAGGAGGTTAAGTAGAAGACTCAGCTCATTTGGAAACATTAACTTGACGATTCGCCGAAAATCGAGCGTACCAAAAGTCAACGAAGTTAAAAAAGAAAAAGTAAAAGCGGAACCGAAATGCATAATTTCATAAAAACTTTTTATCACAGGGTCATTTCACAGAAATGTATATGCATCACTTTTGTTTGTCACTTGTGTCATCCAAAAGTTTTCTTATCGATTGATGTATGTTATAAACGTGACACAATATAAAATTTAAAATCAATAATGAGTAAAAAAGATATATATGCAGAATCCTATATCCTTCTGAGTAATACGGATTATTGATTTTTTGATAAATTGATCAAAAATCAACAAAAGTACCTATGAATAGTTATTCTTTATGTTAAAAAAGGGTCATTCATAACATTTTTAGCAATTTAAAAATTTTAAGTATCATGAAAAAAGAAGTATGGTTAAAAATACCAGAATATGGTAAAATTTACCGTGTATAGGCTCAATTGGAATACTAAAAATCTCTGTAATTTTTACCAAAGCGCTTTGATAAAATTAAAAGAAAAATAATGTTTTATAGTATGCGTTAAAATTATTTGAAAAGTATATTGTATAATAATATTTAATTCAAACGTTTAAAAAAGAAATTTAAGAAATGCGTTAAATATTAAAAAAATAAAAAAATTTTTATGATACTTTAGAGTATGTCATAAAAATCATTTATTAGGTTAAATTTACCTTTTACTTATGCATTTGTTATTGAATCTATGGTTATAATTTTAAAATCTAGAATTTCCTGTAAACCGTTATAAACGGAATAATTACTAAATGAATGGTTTAAATACCGTATATTTTGATTTATTAACCAGTATTATGTTTTTTAAACCAGAAATGTCATTATCAAGCTGAAGGGTAATTTAATAGAATTTTTGCATCATATTAAGACTTTTTAGTTATGAATAAGAGCTGCTAATAAAGTACATTTTATTTGAAAACTTATGAAAGGAAAGTAATTTTCATTTTATTTATTTGACTAGCATTAGATGATAAATATTTTTGATCAGACAGAATTGAACCTAAAGCTTATATTAGACCTAATTTTCTTTAAAAAAAAGCTGTCTAATTATCTTCATATTTTACCTCATTACTCATAACATGACTTTAAGCTTAATTAAAAAAAACTTTACTACATGGATTCCTAAATTGTAGAAAACTATTACAAAAACAAAAGACGTCATTGTTCATATAAGGAAGTAAGTTAATTACTATTGAAGTATAGATGGAAGATCAATTGTTTAATTTTTAGAACTTGTATCTTTATTTTTGATTTACGATTTAAAAATATTGCATAAGTGAATATATTACTTTATATATTATTAAAAGTTATTCTTCACGTTTCATAAATAGAACTTAATTTCGAAAGAAATTCAAAATTTAGGTGAATAACGTAAAGTGGGTAGTATTTTAACTGCTAATCTGGATAATAATCATTTTTAACTAAATATAATTTACATTAAAACGCTTACAACAGAATTTTTTCAAATAGTTAGATGCAAAGTTACTAAGTAAAATTATACGTTTAGAATATTTAACGATCCTCTTTTAAGGATTCATATTTTTAAGTATTCGATTTATTTTTATTGTGATTATTCTATGCTTCACCATTTTGATTACTCTTTACTTCCTATCACCTTGAAGAGATTTGACATTTTATGTCGAAACAAAATACTAATCTTTCAAAAAAGAATCCGTGAGATTAATGAGAAATATATACGACAGATGAGGCATTTTAGAGCAGATTATAATAGGTTTTAAATGTCATGTTTTTGAACCAAATTATTCAATGAGAAAGACTTCAGTATGGGAGTTATAGTTGTCTCAAATGCGTTTAAAACTATTAAAGGCTTTATTAAAAATTAAACGTTCACAATAAATATTTGTTTAAATAATAAAGTTTAAACTTTTCGATATCGCAAATAATTATTCCAAATTTTTCAGGAATTTCGAAAGCGATGATAATTTAAATGTTATTATTAAAAACAGTATAAAATGTAATTAAAAGCTTTAATTTTTATAAAAGATATATTTATTGCAACTTTCTTTCTCTTTCCTTATATTATTTCTTAATCTCAATACTAAATTGCAGTTCAAGTATAATGTAATAAATATTTAGGCAAAGTTCAAACACATTATTCATAAAATTGAATCTAATTGCTTGCATTTTGAATTTTCAATTACATTGAGCTTCTACAAGAAGTTATTTTACACTATTACAAAATAGCTTTATATTAATATATAAATATAAATAATATAGTTCAGTATCATCCAATTTTCAATCTGTAATGAAAATTATTCTAATATTTTTAGTTTCCTTAGAATCATGCATAATTGTATCAATGAATTGACACACTTGTACATAATTTACGTTTTAAGTAATTTCCAATGATTAAAAAATATTTACTCAGAGGAATAACAACATTCACATACAAATGCGAAGTTTACTGATAAAAATGTGTGTTAAAAATATTAAAAAAAGTATTAAAACGTATTGTGTGAAATTCTGTTATAATAAAATGACAGCAATCATTATAATTTTAAATGTTTTTTTAAAATTTATTTATATGTTTAAATTTTTTCATTTGTATTCATTTTCAGAACTGTTTTCATGACATGTAAATGTAAGACATTTATTTAACATTCATTATTGCTTATTTATTTTTATTCTCTCTCAGTATATANTATAATTATATTCTTTTCTTTGTTTGTAAATACTTTCATCATTTTATTAGAAGAATAATTAAACTATTGTTGAATAAAAATCCTTAAAAATGCATTTCTGTAATTATTATCGAAAATTAAGTATTATTTAAAAAAAAAAGCAATATTTAAAAGTCTAAAAATAGTTAGAGACTTCTGTAAGCTTAGCAAACAAGATAATAGATTAGAAAGTATGATAAGCTTTATTTTTTGTTTATTATACAATGTATATTTATATGTCCTTTTTGCAGAGATGTTCAAATTTTCTTTAGTTCAAGCAAAACTTTTAATTTTTATATTAGATTAAAAATGTAAAAAAAAACTCAGTATTTTCTAATACTATTTTTCATTTTAATTGAAACTTGGAAATGTTATGCTAAAATATTATTTTTTTCTTAGTCAAATGAGAGTAATGATAAATTCTTGAGCCAAAGGTTTTGAATTTTTTCAAATAATGTCTTCGAGTTGACTAAAATTTTTAAAATTCATAAAAAGAATACAGTTTTCTTTTATATTCCAACTTCTAATAACTTCTTAAAAAGAATTCAAATTTTGGAATTTAGAATATAATTTTGTTAAGTTTGAAATTTTCGAAATGATTAGTCAAACTACTTTGAATAGATCCGACTCTGTAAAATAAATACGCATCTTTTTTAAACAAGACACTATTTGCGTTTTAATTTTAGTAAGAAATAAACGATTATTAATAATAAACTATAGATAAATTAATTTTTTTTATGTGGACAAAAATAATTTAGGTTTTAAGTAAAACTTGAGACAATCTTTAAATCGCACGATAAATTTTCGTCCAAAGATTTACTATTAAAAATGCTTTTGTAAAGAACATGAAACTTAGAATAGCGAAATTAGAAAAAAACACTTCTAGAAACCATGCGAAAAATTCTTTTTGGATGATTAAAAAAAAAGCAAAATTCATAAAATTATTAGAAAATTAATTATATTTTGAAGTTTTCAAAACTATTAAAAATCTTTTAACAATAGTAAATAAATATTAGAATCATTAGTTTATAGCTTATTAAATCCTTATTTCAGAAAAATTAACAATACGCTTAGGGAAGATCTTTAACGATATATAAAAAACAACTTTCTTCATACCTAAATAGAATCTCAATTTTGTGTTCCATGAATATTTCAATATTGTCACGCATGTTCTTTAAAATCAATTCAAACTTGCCCATCACTCGAAATATTAATTTCAGTGTAATCTGGATCATGTTTATTTTTTTCAAATTTTAAAAATTTCAAATAATAATTTTATACCTTTCATTTAATTACACATCATATTATTCTTATTTCGCATTTCTGTTTTCTTCATAATAACATTTATGAAATAAATAATCCAAAAAAAAATCTGTGGCAAATACTTGACAATATCATTGATACTTATTACATATTACAAAAAAGAAATTTCATTGTCTAGAATTAACATTTAAGTCTGTACCTATTCAAACTAATCATAATTATATATCAGTAGCTAGAAAGAAAACTCTTTTAAAAATTATGTGGTGGACGTTGGCCATTTAGTTCTGATTTACGAAACTATATTTAGAGGAGCTAAATCAAAAGAGATCTAAGTGATTATTAAATTTTTTTTTAAAAATTCCCATGTACATAAATTAAACATATTGTATAAATTTGTAAAGTCAATACGGTTTATACGTAAATTTTACTTAATACTTACGGAATCATATTGCCATTAAGATATTTGGTGAAAAAGCTTTGGCATATTTTACGTAATATTAACGGAATAGATTTTACCCACTTCCCTTCGGTAAGATTACTTTCGTATATTTTACTATTGATGAAAAAATATTTCTTATTTGCTTTCAGTAAAAATGATTCCGTGTATTTTCCGTGTCATTCACAAAGTAAATTTACCATTTAAATTTTGGTAAATTTCGGTTCGAATTTATGTACGCAAATTTCCTTTTTTTTTTTAGATAAGCACATTTTTCTATAATTTGACATTTCAACTTACATATATTCTGACGTAAATAATATGCAATGCGTACTCATTCGTACCTAGGGAAAAGTGACAATTTCCAATTTCAACAACCCAGTTCTAAATTGATTTTCTATAAACTCTCACTGGTAAAATATTCTTAACATAAACGAATTTGTTTGCGTAAAATTATACGTAAATTTTCTATTTTTTGAAAACAACCATTTTTTGCTTTAGTTTAACTTTTCAATTTACTTAAATTTTTACGTATTGTTGATTTAAGTATTATATAAAAATAACGTACTCACACTTACCGAATAAAAAGTGGTTGGTGAAATATTCGTAAAAGAAACGAATTTGTTTTATATAATATGTATAATTCGATGCTTCAGTTTTTTGTGAATTTTACGAATGCTTAGTAAAATTTTAATTATATTTTGTCAATGAATAAGGAAAAAAAAACGCAAAAGAAATTCATGGAGAGAAATTTTAACTTATCGGTTAAATACGTGTGGCTCTAGTAGACCTAGAGACAAGGCTTGTTCATTGTGTTTTATCGGAATTAACTATATTTTATCAATGAACCAGAAAAAGAAAACTCAAAATAGTAATTTTGTTAATACAGTTTGTGTCATCGAAGTGGAGTAATTGAAGGCCCTATTTGAATATTGTTTCAACTTCACTTATTAAAAACGAAGTTATCCTCAATTTCCGGTTCATTCTACTAATTTATATATATCCATTTTCTAACTAATATACTCACATTTCTGAAGCCAAAGAGAAGAAATCATATGAGACGGGAACGTGAAAAACAATCTACTCAATAGACTTAAAAAAACTATGTATATTAAAAAGAATAAAA